TTGTTCTGTGCTTTGTGCTTGCTGCTGGTCCCCTTACGCTTTGTGTACGCTCGACGACTCACGACTTCGTGTGTGTGTGTGTACATGTGTGTGTGTGTGTTTGTACGTGTACATGTGTGTGTGTGTGTGTTGTGTGCAATAAATTTACTGCAGCCTCTCCAGCAACCAGATCACGCACTTGACGGTGGACTTTCTCGATACGTGTCACATTTCCCATGTTGACGTCTTGGGCAACCCCATAGTCTGCCCACCTCCGTCCATCGTCGAGGCCGGCTGCCCCGCTATCTACGCCTATCTGCGCGACGTGGAAAAGGGGCACGAGCTGCTGACACGATCTCGTCTCGTGTTCATTGGGGATGGTGGTGTTGGCAAGACCACGCTCAAGACGGCGCTGCTGATGTTGCACGACATAGATCGGTTTGACGTGCTGAAGGAAGTGCGCTCGACGCTCAAGTCCTCGTTTCAGAAATACACAGAGGCCGACTTCCGCCAGTGGGTGGATCACGATCTGGCGCACAGGGACGGGTTCTTTGACGAGGAGTGCCCGAGGGCCAAGGGCATCACGGGAAAGCTGTGGTTGAAATCCACCGATGACCAACTGCAGCAGTGGTTTGGCAGTGCAAACACGCCTGCCTCTGAGGACGTTGTGCAGCGCATGCTTCAGGCAAAGCGCTTTCTCCTCAGCAAAGGTAGCAAATCGTCTTCGTCCAAAGACAGCGGCAGCCCGTTCCAGCAGCTCTTGCACATGCCGCACGTGTGGACGGAAGGCATTGACGTGGACCACTGGATCAAGCACGCGTTTGACTTGTGGGATTTCGCTGGCCAACTGGAGTTCTTCCCGGCCCACCAGCTCTTCATGGCCTCGCACATGGCCGTGTACCTCCTTGTGTTTGATGCCTCAAAAGGGCTGGAGCATTCCATCGCCCGCATCAGCGTGTGGCTCGGCCTGCTGCAAGCATGCCGCCTCTCTCGACACAAGCAAGCCGAAGCCGTGCAAGTGCGGCTGGTCGCCACCAAAACAGACTTGCCATCCTTTGATTTTGAGCTCCAGCACCTCCACGCTGTTGTGCAAGAGCGGGTTGGAAGCGAGTATCATCTTGGTCACTGCTGTTTTGCCCCACGCTACGATGAACACGACATTGGTGATGCAGGCGCCGACTTCGGCCTTGTTGCCTTGGATGAAGAACTCGCAACACTGCGAAGGGAAGGTGTGCCCTACGTCCAAGTCCCTACCGCCTATTTGAGCATCAAGAACTGTGTGCAGAGCATGAAAACGGAGCAGCACCAGGTGTGGCCCATCATCAGTGTGTCCAAGATTGACTTCCGAGACAAGGACCCCGACCTCATTTTGAGGTTCTTGGATGATGCGGGTGTGGTGCGGCGCATTCCCGATGACGAGGGCCGATGTGTGCTGGAGCCGGTGACCTGGCTAAGCAAGCTGATGGCGGCGCTGCTGCACCCGCTGCACGGCTTGGGGCTGACGACTGCGCAGGCGGGTACAGCAAGCACAGCGATCTTCGTGCCTGGCGTCTCTGTACTGCAAGCCGTAAACGCGCTGGAAAAACGAAGCATTCGCATCCCACAGCACGCGCAGGACGACTTGCTGCCGTTCCTGTCTTCCTTTGGGGTGTGTTTCGAACTCAAGCGTGGCCGGTTCACATTCCCATCGCTGCTGCCGCACCATGACCCTCACTCGACGATTATCGAAAGCATGGGTAGGCTGCTTGGTGATGCTGAAGACTGTGTCATCCTTGGACGTCGACTGCAGTGTGCCGCAAGCGAGCGGTGCTTGCCTCCGACGTGTTGGCCGGCCGTGGTTCGCAGTTTGTGTCAAGGTTTGCAAGACGTGACGGCAACATTGCTGCACCTCAGTGCTGGGATTTTTGTGGCGGTAGATTCCAACTCCAATTACCTCGCGCTGTGCACAACGGACGTGACAGAGGGCCGCGCGTTAGACGTCATTGTGGTCGGTGGCAACAAAGAACTGCTCAACTTCGCAATGTTGACAGTGGTCAACACGCTGTGCCACGAGTTTCCGCACGTCCAGCTTCAGAAGCGCTGCCTCAAGGCCACCAAAACTATGGACCCGCTTGGCGTCGCCCATCCTCTGCTGCGGCGGCGCGTGCGATCGTACCCCGCAGACACGGCACTCCTTCAAGCGACAGTGCAGAACTCCCAGTTTGGCACTGGTGTCCTTGCAAGAGCATACTACCAGTGTGTCATCAACAGCCCGCTGTTTGAGCGCACGGATGGAGGTATTCAGCTGCATTCGAGCCTGTGGTCTTTGATGCTGACAGATCCCCGATTCGTACAGGAGGACCTTCGCAGCTGCTTGAAGCATTCTTCGTCCGAAGCAGCTTGGCCGAATGCTGAGTGTTCTGTCGGTGACCTCACGGTGACGTCGAAGCTGTGGAAGGACGGTGCATTTGGTCCTAACGCTTATCGTGGGCGGTTTCAGCACTCTGCAACAAGGATCGTTGCTGTGTGGGCGGTGTCTCAGCCAGCGAGCTGCAACCCTTTCTCCGGCCTTCATGGGTTGCCAGAAGCTCTTCTGCGCCATGAAAGTCCGAAGCTGCACCGCACAAACGATGTATTGTTCATTCCTACGTTGATGCCGGCCCACTCGGTGCCGCTGGGCACGAGCGTGCTGACTCAGTGCGATGCCGACAACCTGCGAGAGCTCATTCGCGACATAACCAACGCACTGGTGTTCTTGCATGAGCGACAAGTCCTACACGGCAGCCTCTGTCCTGAGCACATCGTGTGTCACAGATCCCAAGACATGTACCGTGCGCAGATCGCTGCGTACAACTTGGGATTGAAGCCCACTTCTGATGCCTGGCTTGCACCCGAGCAGAGAGCAGCTGCATGTCCTCACCTGCCGTCCCGAGAGGCAGACGTTTTTGCGTTTGGCAAGCTGATTGACTTCATTCGCAAGAGAGGCAATGATGACTCCTCGGTGGACCACCCAAACGCCTTTGAGCTTGCTGCAGCGGATGCTGTCGTGTACCTAACTGCGGAGAATGTGCGAGAGAGGCCGGGGCTCAACAAGTGTCAGCGACCAGCAGAGCAAGGCGGGCTCTTTCTCTTTCAAGATCATACTGCCAGTGGCGTGGTGGAAAGATGCCTGCTGCCTGCTTTGGAGCTATCGGAGCTGTTTCAGTCATGCAATGACGTTCCCCCCAGCAAGTGGGTGTTGCTGGGCCAGGAAGCGATTCAGAGCCAATCTGATTTTATCCAGCAATGGCAGAGCAACCCAACCAGAGTCACAGGCTGGCGACAGACGGTCCAAGCTGTGGCTCCAAAACTGATGACCAAGCTACACCAACAGCTGATGAAGGTGACCTGCAGCCCCACTCCCTACGATGACACTTTCCCAGCATTGATGCGGTGCTTTCGCAATGTGTGTCACCATCCTGAGGATTACGACTTGAAGCAGCTGGGTGTGCCTCAGCTGGTGGGCCCCGACAGCGGGTTGTCGAAGCAGCAGCTGTTTTGGTTCCTCGCTGAGCTGTTCCCCTCCCTGTTTCTGGACCTGCACGTGTTCAGAGTGGGTGGACTGCCGAGGAAAGCCCGCGACGCCTATCGGCAGCTTCAGCAATACCCCGAGCCGATCCCGCTGCTGAAGCACACACCCAGCAAGCACGTGATTGAAGGCTTCACGATTCTATGCGAAGCGCGGTTTATCAACCCTTCTCAGGGAATTGGCTTACACTTCAAGTGGTCGGCGACTGGCGGTACCATTGACAATTCGGTTGTGAGCAACAACGACTTGGTGCTTACCGCTCAAATGTCTTTCACGCTGCCCCTCATTGCCGCGCATGGCACCAGTCCGATCGTGATCACATGTGAAGCGACACACCCTACGACTCAAAAACGCTGCACGGTCCAAGTGATGAAAATTGAATTGGACCAGATGCCCGGGTGCCGGTGGTGCGTTCGAGGGCCCTGTCTCAAGGACAAGGTGTTGCTGACACCAGACGTCTCCCAGCCCGGCGTCTTCACCTACAGCATTGGCTCGAATGACCTTCGAGCGCCCAAGAAGCCGAAGGATCCGTTCTCCCCCTTTACGTGCTTGAGGGAAGTCGCCTGCCAAGACGAGCACTCCACATCAAGTCCCACTCTCAAGTGGCAGTCGCAGGGCACTTTCGTCTCGGACACCATGAGCCAACAAGACTGGAAGAACAACTGGAGCCAAGAGTTTGAGTTCGCGCTTCATTTCGATGAGACCAATGGCTCTGCAAGGCTGATCATGCGAAGAGGATCAACCGAGCAGACCCTCGAGTGTGGTCGGCGCAATTGAACAGATTGCTCTCCGTCCTTTTCACAAGTGACTGAGCCCCGCTTCAAAGGGCACAACACAAGCTCATGCTCCTTCTCATGCATGGATGTTGGTGTGTGTGTGTGTGTGTGTGCGTGTGGGTGCGTTGGCTTCTTCATTTCCTGGGACGTGTGCGTGTTGATGTGAAGCTGTTCCCTGTTTGTCGTGGTGCGACGTGTGATGCGATGTCATGTCATGTCATCACATAGCTTCGTTCACGTGTTGTGGTCTGCTAATCCTTTGATTCAGTGATGTGGATGTGACATGATTGCGGCGCGGTGTGAATGTGTGAACTTCGAGTGACTCCTGTTGCTTTTGCAAGTGCCATTTGCAGTACAATTTGCAAAAGGAACAACAACAAGCAACAACAAGCAACAGAGCAAACGCGAGGATGGCGGACGATGACGAGCTGGACTCGATTGTGATGCGGCTGGAGCAAGGCCTTGAGGTGAAGGACCGCCGATACCGCCTCAAGTCGTACAAGAACTGCTTCGTTGGGTCGGACGCCGTGGCGCTGATGATGTCCAGTGGGATCACCAACACGGAAGAGGACGCAGTGCTCCTGGGCAACGTGCTTCTGGACGCGGGCTACATTGCCCACGTCCTGCGTGAGCACCGTTTTGAAAACAAGCGCCTCTTCTACCGCTTCACAAAACATGAAGATCACGGTGCCCCAGGTGAGCTGTCGGTGTGTGTTTTTGTGAGTGTGTGTGCACATGTGTGTGTGTGTGTGTGCACGTGTGTGAGTGTGTGCACGTGTGTGTGTGTGTGTGTGTGTGTGTGTGTGTGAGTGCGTGTGCTGTTTGTGTGTGCCGGCGCTCGTCTGTGTATGTCAGTGCAGTATTTCGTGACACTCGTATCTCATCCTTTGCTACCAATTCAATCGCTGGCCGCCACAAACCCTCTGTCCTCCCTCATCTCCTCGCCAATCGTAGCATCGGATGCCAGTAGCTGGGCAGCGTTTCTTGGCAGCATGAATGAAACAGACACGGACAGCGACTACGCTCGCGCAGACCAGCGCCGACGATCCAGTGTGCAGGCAAGCCTTGACCTGGAAACGGCGAGCCAGCTCTCGCCCATGGACACGCACAACCTGGCACTACTCAGCAAGGTGCATCCAGCAGACTGGAAGAACCCAGAGCCCAAGAAGGCCTACGATCTCGTCGTCATCGGCGCTGGAGCAGGTGTGTATGTGTGTGTTCATGTGTGTGTGTGTGCATGTGCGTGTGTGTGTGTGTGTGTGTGTTTATGTATGTACATGTGTGGTGGTAATAACATGTGATTGGTCAAGAGTCCGGCAATGTGCTGAATGTGAGTGTCCCAGAGACCACGCCGCCCATCACCTCATCCCCCCCCCCATCGTCACATCCTCGGTTGTGTTGTGCATTTGCAGGCGGCCTGGTGTCCGCTGCTGGTGCTGCCGGAACCGGCGCCAAGGTTGCCCTCATCGAAGCCCGTCTCATGGGTGAGCAAGAGCAATGACGAAGTGATGGCCATGGTGTAGATTCACAACAGCATCGCGCTCGCCACACCAGTTTCTCCTCTTCAGCACCCGTATACACACACATACACACACACACACATACACACACACATACACACAATCATACACACTCCTCCTCTCATGTTACGGCCTTCCTCTCCCTTCCTCTCCTCCCTTCTCCCCAATACCACAGGCGGTGACTGCCTGAATGTCGGGTGTGTGCCGTCCAAGGCGCTGCTGCACGCCGCTGCCGTCGTTGCACAGATGCGCAACACTAAAGAGCTGGCAGACCTCGGCATCTCCGTCTCGGGCACGGTGGATGTCGACTTTGGCAAAGTGATGGAGCGCATGCGACGCCTTCGCGCTGAAATCGCCGACAACGACTCCGCCCAGCGGTTCACGCAGAAGCTGGGCGTCAACGTCTATCTGGGGCGAGCCAAGTTCACGGGCAAGCGCGAGGTGGTGGTGAACGACGACGTGCACCTCAAGTTTCAAAAGTGCGTCATTGCCACCGGCGGCTCTCCGCGCCTTCCCGCCATTGACGGGCTGAGCGATGCATATCAGGCACAGAACCCTGAGCACCCGCTCATCCTCACCAACGAGTCCATCTTCAACCTCACCGAACTCCCAGCCCGCCTCGGCGTCATCGGTGTGTGTGTGTGTGTGTGTGTGTGTGTGTGTGTGTGTGTGTGTGTGTGTGTGTGTGTGTGTGTGTGTGTGTCTGTGTGTGTGTGTGTCTGTGTGTGTCTGTGTGTGTGTGTCTGTGTGTGTCTGTGTGTGTGTGCATGTCTTGGGTTTGTGCGCTTGTTACTCGCCCTGCGTCTCCCCCACCTTGCCTCATGCTGTATCCTGACCACCATTTCCCCATTTTCTACTCCTCAACACCACAACAGGCGCTGGTCCCATTGGATGTGAGCTTGCCCAGGCCTTTGCCCGGTATAGCTACGCCCACAAGGAGAACCTTGCTGGAACCTGCCCTCTCGCGTTAATGAGGCTTCTCCGTGCTCACAAATCACGCGCCTTCCTACACGCACGCACACATATTCACGTACACTTCTTACACACCCTCACACATTCATGTGTGTTCATGGCCATCGCTGCAGGTTTGGGAGCGAGGTGCAGCTGTTTGCGCGAAGCGGACACGTGTTGGCGAAGGAGGACCAAGACGCCGCACAGCTTGTGGAGGATGCGCTTGAACGCGATGGGGTTGAACTCATCTTGGACGTCACCGCATACACGCGCGTGCATTGCGACGACAAAAGTGTGCATGTCACTGTCACCCGCAAGGACGAGCCGGACCACCCCGTGACGTACTCCTTCTCACAGCTCCTCGTCGCTGCAGGCCGCCGTCCAAACGTCGGGTGCGTATGCGCATGTGTGTTTGTGTGTGTGTGTGTGTGTGTGTGTGTGTGTGTGTATGTGTGTGTGTGTGTGTATGTGTGTGTGTGTGTGTGTGTGGATGTGCATGCATGTGCATTTGCGCGCACATACGTGTACCTCTATGCTTGGCTGTCTAGGTCTTTCACACAGACGCACAGACGCACAGACGCACAGACGCACACACACACATGCACCCATTGTCTCTCACGAATTGCGTGCTCACTTACACCACCTTTCTCTTTCTCTCTCTCTCTCTCCAACTCTGTCCCTTCAACTGTGAGCAGCGCGCTTGATTTGGACAAGGCTGGCGTGGCGTTTGACGACAGCAGGGGTGTGCATGTGAACGATCGCTTGCAGACGAGTAACGACCGCGTGTACGCTGTTGGCGACGTGTGCTCACCCGTGCAGTTCACACACGCGTCAGATTTCATGGCGCGGATGGTGGTGCGAAACTGCCTCTTCTTCGGCAAAGCCAAGTTCTCGCAGCTCATCATCCCCTGGTGCACATACACGAGCCCCGAAGTTGCGCACGTGGGCCTCTCGCGGCGCGTGCTGGACGAAGAGGGCAAGGAGTACGACGTGTACGAGAAACCGCTGGCAGAGAACGACCGAGCGATTGTGGAGGGCCAGACGCGTGGGTTTGTGCGCATCCTGTGCAAGAAGCACACGGACAAGATCATTGGCGCAACCATTGTCGCAGCGCACGCCGGCGACCTCATCAGCGAGGTGACGCAGGCCATGCAGACCAACACGGGGCTGGGCAAGCTGGCAGCGGTGATCCACCCGTACCCAACGCAGGCTGATGCCATCCGTGCATGCGGCGACCTGTACAACAAGACGCGCCTCACCACTTCCGTGCGGAAAGTGCTGCGGAATGTCATCAAAGTCCAGCGCTCCGGCACTCGCCGCTGACACTGGATGAGAGGAGGCGTGTTGGGGGGGGGGGTTGCTTGCTTGTTTGCTTGCTTGTGTGTGTGTGTGTGTGTGTGTGTGTGTCTGTGTGTCTGTGTGTCTGTGTGTGTGTGTGTGTGTGTGTGTGTGTGTGTGTGTGTGTGTGTGCGTGTGCGTGCTTGTGTGTCCTGCTTGCCTTTCTTTGCTTGGATTTCATGTTTCTTGACTTGATGTGTGTTTTCGGGTGGAATAGAAATGCACATGTCGTTCGTTGTTGCCTTTGCAGCATGGCACTGTACGTGTTGTTACACTCTGTGTGCATCCACATGCTCGCTTCTCTTCTCTCTCTTCTGCAGCCCTTGTAGCTGCAGCCCTTGTAGCGTGTTACATCATGACTTGCACCTTTGCGTGTTCCATGTGTTCAATGACATGATTGAAATGATGATGAAGCATTCAAACGTACTCCGTCTCACAGAACTGAAGAAGAACAACACATGCGGAGGGCTAACAACAACAACAACAACAACAACAACAACAACAACAACAACAACAACAACAACAACAACAACAACAACACAATGAGCACTCTTTGCGAATGGACAACACCAAGCAATGTCAACCAAACGCCCTCAATTGGAACTAAACAACAACGGGAATGAACAAGAAACGCCCACTGTCGCTCCACAACACCATCACCACCGCCACTCAACACCGCCACCATGATCGTCGATGGCATGTCAGGCGGTGCTGGTTCGCCGTCCGCCGTATCGCGCCTCCTCCCGCGCAGCAGCAACGCGCCTAACCAAAGGGGACATGAGGAGAGAGAGAGAGAGAGAGAGAGAGAGAGAGACAGACAGACAGACAGACAGACAGACAGAGACAGACAGACAGACAGAGACAGAGGCAGAGAGAGAGAGAGCATAGGTCGGTGTAGACACATGGGTGCATGTGCATGGATACCAGAGCATGTTGCCACTGCTTGCCATTGTGCTCCAGCACTTCAAGCACGCACCTACTCTCCCTCCCTCTCTCCCCCTCTTGTCCACGACGCCACAATCACCCGCACCTGTCGCCTGTTGGCTGGTAGTGGCCGTTAAAGTCGATTCTGTTGCCAAGATACTTCATGTTGTGGTTCGGGTCGCGCATCAGCATCTGCAGCAGCCGCCGCACCATGTCCTGTGCAAGCAATGGCGATGGCAATGGCGATGATGGCGGTGGCGGCGGTGATAGCGGTGGCAGAGAGGTGGTGGAAAAAACGCGTGAGTAATACGCGCGAGAAAGAGAGAAGAGATTTACACACACACACACACACACACACACACACACACACACACACACACACACATGCATGCATGCATTGGCGTACCTCGTATGTGCGTGCGACGAGAGAGACTTTCGCGTTGACGTCCTGTGCTGCCGCTTCAAACCGCTGTGCAGCCGTCATCTCTTCCTCGTCATCGTCGTTGCTCGTACCCCACGAGCCCTACGGAACACAGCATGCAGACGTGAAGGATGAGGGTGCTTTCAAGGAAATAATGTGCTCATTGGGGAGTGTACAGGGGTGCAGACAAGCACGCAGAGAGGAAGGAGGTAGACAGAAAGACTCGGAAGAAGGTATACACACTCAAGCGCCAAAGTTTGCGTTGCTCACCTGCACGGCGCGTGTGTGAATGCGTCTGGCGCCACGACTGCGACGGTCCAACTCGTCCATGCCAATGCTGTGCATTTCCCGCTGTATTTGTATGTGAGTGTGAGTGTGTGTGTGTGTGTGTTTGTGTTTGTTGGGGAAGTAAGCGCATTGTGCAACCATGAGTGACGATGGAGAAGTGAGGTCAAGGGCTGAGTGCGCGTGGCCTTGACATGAGAACTGACAACAGAAAAGGGGGAAGTGTGCAACACATCAAGTAAAAGCCGACACAACTCACGTGGTGTTCCTGGAATTTGATAATCTGGTCAAAGATGGAGCGCAGCTGGCTCAATTTGTCCTGTTGAGTCACGAAGAACCAAGCGGAATTAAGTCGGTGATGTGGTTGGTGAGGTGTCACAGGACAATGGGGTTCATGGATCCAGCATGAACACAAGTGTTCACCTCACAGCCACACACGCACCCACATACACAATCACACACGCCTGCACACACCACGTCCCATCTTCACTCTCGTTGCTGACCTGCGCTGCCTGGTTTGCGCTGAGGAACATCTGGCCCTTGATTGTGTCGACGAATTCGTCGTGTGCAGCGATGACAGCGTCCAGGTCCTGCGCACCGCCCACGCGCTGCATGAACCGCTGCCACTGCGTCTCAAGCACCTGATCATGGTGGTGGTGGTGGTGGTGGTTGGTGGTGTTGTGGTGGTGAAGGAAGTGAGTGTGCGTTTGCGCGTTTGCAAGGAGATGCAATCCACCCCACTTCTCCGCCCCTCTACACACGCACACACACACGCACACGCACACACACGCACACAGTGTTCGCATTGACGATCAACGGCTTTCATGCACGCCGCCCCCACCTCGAAGAGAAGGTAGTGTTGGATCTGTTTGACAAAGTGGCCCATCTCACTGCCAAGAAGGTGCAGATTGCGCAGAATCGGCTGCAACTCTGGTGGTGGTGGTGGTGGTGGTGGTGATGGTGGTGGTGGTGGTGGTGGTGGTGGGGATGAGTATTGATGTTGGGTTGAAGGGGTTTGGTGGATGGATGTGCAATAATGGTGTGGGTGACACATGTTTGTGTCATTAAAGACGCTTCAACCCCCCCCCACCCAACACACACAGTGTGCGTGTGTTCACCTTTGATTGGAGCGAGTGTGCGCTGCTCGACCATCTGCCTGGACCAAACGCCCGAGAGGATGAAGTCCATGCGCTTCACCCGCCACAAGAACTTGAACACTGAACACCCGCAACACACACAAACGCACACAGGCATGCAGTGAATGTAAGAAGCACAGAGGTGTAAAACAGTGTGAGCAGAAGAAGCAATGAATGGCACGCAAGTTTCACACACACACACACACAACAAACAAACACACCACGCACATCAAAGAGCAGCAACACACCCTGCTGGTAGGAGACCATGTGCTTGAGAGCGAGGACGGCGCTGATGGGCCCCTCGGTTGCATACGAGAGACTGAAGATGTCCCACCCTTTCTCGTGCGGCAGGTGCTGTGCAATACGCAGTCGCGCCCCGCAATGTCAGCAATGACGCCACGCATCATCAAGAACGACCAAAGGGAGAGAGCGCGCGCCTACGTTACACCACACACACACACACACACACACACACACACACACACACACACACACACACACACACACACACACACACACACACACACACACCACCACACACACTCACACACACTCCACAACATCACGTTACAGCGCGTTACTTACGTTACACCTCCACCCCACGATGGGCACCTCCAAGAGCTTGTATTCTAGGGAAACGAAGCAGGTGGCGTCTCCTTGTCGCGCGTTTGAAAGAGAGCTAGGCGAGCCCTCAGAAAACAGGAAACCTTTTTGTCCCAGCAAATGCCCACCCCGGGGGAACAGACTTAGACCAGATTGAGTTGGGGGGGGGGGGGGACAAGTGGTGGCACAAGTATTTGCGGTGATGGGAATTGGGGGGGGGGGAGGGGCATGCGAAGCCATGTGAGAAGAGAGGAAGAAGAAGTGATGGGACGAAGATGAGGCGAGGCACAGGCAACACACGCATCGTGCACGTGCACACACACATGCACACACACACACACACACACAGAGGTGTATAGCGCGCGTGTGTGTGCAGGCGCTACCTGAGGTCCTCCATGAGGAACATGAAGAGATCGCCCTGGCCGAGGAGAAGATAGCGGCGCATCGCGCGCAGGTGCAGATGCAGCTTGTGCTCCTCTTCAAGGATGCGCAGCAGCCTGGCCGTGGGGATGTGTCGTGGTGAGAAGGGGGAATGCAGATTGCGTGGTGCGTGGACTGTATGTTCTTGCGTTCTTTCCGTATGAAATCGCAAAGCACGTGACAGCAGGCAAGCGCACACAACAAGGCAAGCACACATGCAAACACACACACACACGCGCGCGCAACACGCCCAGTTGCGTGTACTCACGAGCTTGAGGAGAGCTTGTACGCCTCCTCGATGATTTCCCGGCCCGGCAGCTGGCACCGGCGATACGCATCTGAGAGCCCGACACCATGCGTTGCGTAAACAACGTGTGAAAAGGACATGTGTTCGTGTGTTCGTGTGTGTGTGTGTGTGTTCGTGTGTGTGTGTGTGTGTGTGTGTGTGTGTGTGTGTGTGTGTGTGTGTGTGTGTGTGTGTGTGTGTGTAAACGTGTGTGTGTATGTGTGTGTTTGCGGGTCATCCTTCCGTCTACCAACCAGATTGAGCCAATGCAAACACTCCACGCCCTTCGTACCTTCGTGCCACTTGATGCCAGTCAGGCTGTTCTTCTCTTGAAAACGTTTCATGAAGTTCTCCATGGAGCCGCAGATAACGCGGGCAAAGTTGATGGACTTGCCGCACAGCAGCACCTTGACAGCTAGGCTGTCGCTCACAAACGACGGCAGCATGCTCCGTGACAGCCCATACTTCTCCGTCCAATACGCGTGCGCATCCTGGTGGTGATGGAGAATGTTGGGTGGCAGTGAGCATGACAGGGTTGGGGATGATGGTACGTATGAGAAGAATCGTGGCAGGAGAACTGACATCAGCGACAAGTCATCTCGCAGACAAAACACCCATACACACCCGCGCACACATGCATACACAAGTACACAAGTACACACATATACAAAAACACACACACCACCTCAACACCCCAAACATTCTTTCCCACGCAGCGTCACCTGTGGGTCTGCGACGATGGTTGAGTTGTTGGAGATGAAGAACTCGCCAGTGGTGTCGACTAGGACACCACGGTACACCCATGCACTGAGCATCTCGAGGAAGGGTGGCATGATGGCGTCAAGCATGCGCCGTGCAAGCTGCTGCACACTCGTGTCGCCGCTCAGCGTAAACTCAAACACCGCAGACAGCAGCTGCCCGCCACGCACGCCTGAACAAGCGTGCGCGAGAGAGTGTATGTGTGCATGTGCATGTGTGTGTGCATGTGTATGCATGTGTGTGCATGTGTGTGTGTGTGTGGCAGAGGACGAGAAGCTAGAGTGAGAGTGTGCTAAATACCCAAGTGTATTGAACATTGCTTCTCATGCAGTCATGCCAAAATGCCACACGAAACACACACATACACACCTGCGCATTGCGAAATGATGGTGGAGAGGGCCTTGAGGCGGTGTGCTGGGTTGTGCATCCACACAACGAGACGTCGAAGCGTCATTGCGGACCGGTCTTCCGGCGCCGGCGAAATCTGAAACAAAACGGCAAAGGCGTAAATGCGTTGTGTACGTGTGTGCGTATGTGTGTGTGTATGTGTGTGTGTGTGTTACGTGTGGCAGTGCGCAGACAGCAGTGAAACAAAACTACCTGCACACACACACACTCACAGACACACGCACACACACACACCACCACCACCACCACACATCACAACCAAAGCAACCCCCTCCCCCGCCCCTCACCTGTGTCTCGAGGAGCGTGATGAATCTGTAGTAGTCCGTGAGCTCTTCCCGCAGCATGGAGCAGAACGACTGCCCAATGAGCCCATATGACCGATCGCCGTGTCGCTCGTCGACAAAGCTCTTGAGTCGGTCAAACAGCAGGCCCGTGTTGGCGAGGTTGCGCACAAGCTCGGCCTGCGACGGCGACACGACGTACTCCTTTGCCACCGTGAACGTGCCCTCGTGCCCGTTGTACTTGATGTACGTGCCGTTGAGGCCCTGACACACCAGCAGCATGTCCCGCACCAGCACGAACTCGCTCAGCCGTTGTCCTGACCACAGCACAAATGCACATGAACAGGAGCATTTGTGAGCTGTGAGACCAAGGAACACGCGTCTGCATGTGTGCTTGCATGTGCGTTTGTGTTTGCGTGTGTATTTGCATGTGTGGTTGTGTGCGCATTCGCACAAGCCCGCATCCACACATGCACACATGTACATGCGCATTCACACGCATTCACACGCATTCACACGCGCGCATTCGCATCACACACATATGCAAACACTCACCGTCGTCGTGCTTGGAGTGAAACTGTCTGATGGCCTCTTGTTGGCTTGCCGGCAGCTGCGCAAGCGCGGGTGTTGCTGTTGTTGCGTCAGTGCGACTTGCGTCCCCCGCTGTCTGTGCTTGCAAGCTCGGCTCTGGTGCTTTCAGTGCGCGCACGAGCGATTTCTCGGGACGTGTGAGCGGCACTGCCTCGGGGGATGCCTGCAAAGCGCACGACAGCAAACAGATAACGCGTCAGCAGACAGCAGCCACACCCACACACAAACGCACATACACACACGCACGCACGCACACACACACACACACACACACACACACACGCACACACACACACACACACACGCATGCACACACACACGCACATGGGTTTGAACAGAGATGGAGAGAAAAAGCATTGGCGAGCAACATTTTGTGCTTGTGTTGCCACTGCACCTCAGAGAAGGCTGGCGGTCGGTATCCTTTGGTCCCTTCCAGCAGCAGCAAGAAGTGGAGAATATTCACTTTGCGCGACACTGTCTTCTGCAACACCACCGGCACCAACAGTAACAGCAACAGACACAGCACAGCAGCAGCAGCAGTAGCATATGAGCAGCAGCAGCAGACACAGCACATGAGCAGGGTGTGGTTGGTCATTGCGAATCAGGCATGACAACACACTCGAAGTACGACAAGTAGCGCCGTGCAAAACGAAGCGAATGGCTTGCATGATCTCGTACCAGTTTGAGAAAGCGATCCAGCAGGTCCAGCATTTCCGCTGCTGTGCGCATGTCTTGCTGTGAATCCACTACGTAGCAGAAGCACGCGTATGCACGAAGATTCAAGGCCGTGAGTCGCGAGAGTGTGATGTGCTCGAGCGGAAAAGCAAAACAGGGAAGAGCAAGGATGGAGGCTCTCCAAAGAATGGAGTGTGTGACCCACAACGGAGCAAGCTGTTGCACGTACCTCGACGGATGATGAGCGACTTCATCTGTTGCTCGTCCTTGATGAATGAGGGCCGCACATAACTAGTGAACAAGCACAACACGAGGGAGTGTGAAGGGTGAGCACAGTGAGGCGAGTTTTCATCGCACCAGCAGAGACACATGTGTCGCAAACAGCATGCACTCCCAAAGCTCTCACCTTGCAAGCAACCTCGCGCTGTATTCAAATGCGTCGTGTTTGACATCTGCGATTCACACACACACACACACACGCACACAGGCAACAGCCACAATGGTGAGACGTTCGTTAGAACCAGCAGCAGCCATCAACACGCTTTGAGTCGATGTCGTCCAACAAACAAACTCATCATGCGCTGTCACACACGCACGCACACACACACACACACGCACGCACATACAATCTACCCCTTACCTTCGCTGGCTGCTGGCCCCAGGATGTGGTGCACCAACCGGAGCAGGTCAGTGCTCGCACCACCGCTGCCACCAGCGCTGCTGCCACCGCTGCCACTGCTGCTTCTGAGCATCGTTTGACTGTTTGGCTGTTTGGCCGTTTTCTTCGCGCACAAAATTGCACAACATCGTCAACTTGCCGATAGTTTGTGGGAATCATTCGTGAATCGTCAGGACTCGCCATGGCCAGCAAGGACGAAGAGGAAGCAAGGCGGCTTCAAGAACGGCTGATGGCCTTTGCTAGCGGCGGAGGTGTGTGTGTGTGTGCATGCGTGTGTGTTTGCATGTGTGTGTGCATGCGCATGTGTGTGCGCATGTGTGCGCATGTGTGTTTGCGTGTCTGTCTGTTTGTCTCTCTGCTTGTCTGTCTGTTTGTCTCTCTGTCCCTCTGTCTCTCTGTCCCTCTGTCTCTCTGTCTCTCTGTCCCTCTGTCCCTCTGTCTGTCTGTCTGGCCGTCTCTCTGTGACTGTGTTTGTGTACATGCACTCTTCCATTTCTGTGCTGTTGTGCAGGCCTTGCTGGTGTGGTTGCAAGCCTTGCGCTGTGGAGGAAGCGCTCCCTGTACGGCACATCTGCGATACCCCGTCTGATTGTTGGCTCGGCATCCAGTGGCGCTTGCTATTCAGGTGTGTGGCCGATCATGTTTTGGTACGCATGACATATTGGAGTCATGAATGCTTGTCGTTTATGGAAACTCAAGCAGTGTGTGTTTACTTTGTTCGGCTCTCATGTCCTCGCTCAACGTTCACCCTCGTGCGCCTCATCGCATGTTTTCTGAACAGTGATGCGGGAGGTGACACGTGATGCACATCCAAACTACACACCTGTGCAAGTTGGAGGCTTGAGCGGCATGCTCAGTGGTCTACTCCTGGCCATGTTCCTTGGTAACTCATTCACACATGTGTTCGTGTGTGTGTGTGGGGGGTGTCTGTGCCTGTCTGTGTGTCTGTGTCTGTGTCTAAGCCTGTGTCTATGCTTGTGTCTGTGTCTATGTCTGTGATGTGCCTCACGTGTCACGTCCAGCCTCACGGCTGAGTAAACATGCGAGGAGGCGCACGAGTGTGAACGTCTGAGCGAGGACATGAGAGCCGAACAAAGTACACACACACTGCATGAGTATCAATAAACGACAAGCATTCATGACTCCCATATGTCATGCGTAACAAAACATGATCGGCCACACACCTGAATAGCAAGCGCCACTGGATGTCGAGCCAACAATCAGACGGGAATCGCAGATGTGCTGTACAGAATTCCACCACAGTGCGATGATATCAGATCTGCCGG